AGGGCCCCTCATGGGGCTCGGCAGTAGAGCTGCAAGGCCGGCGGTGGTGGCCGGGACCGTTGGGGGCGGGGTGTGTGGCCATATGACACACTTCCAGTGATGTCAGGGGGTGTGGCCTTATGACACACTTCCGGTGATGTCAGGGGGTGTGGCATGTGCTAATGAGTTATGCTAATGAGTTCCCCTAGCTCTTTTTCTACGAAACGACCTCTAGGCGTTATTTAATGCTGCAAGACCATAGTGTGGTCAACTAAAAAAAGGCATAGAAGCTCTTTGACGCTAAAAGTATTTCCACCATTTAGAGCACATCTTAATTAGGAGGACTAAGAACATAGACAATTTCCACCATTTAGAGCACATCTTAATTGTGAGAACATAGTAAAACTAAAGCAGAATAAGCTTGCTCTAAAGCTGGGGCAGGGGGCAGGAAGTGAGTTTTCCAGAGCATTCAAATTCTCACTGCATATGTACAATGGGGCAAGATCGCTCTGTGGCCCCTGCAGAATTTGTATGCAGCCACAACTCACCGTGGCTTCACTGGGAGACCACTGCAGGTCTTCCACTGATTTAGTGTGGGCTGTGAAAGGCCGCTGATCTACAAACCACGAGCCGTCCTCCTTGGGTGTCCACAAATGGATATTTTTGTTGCAGTCACCAGTTAGAAGAGTGCCTGAAATGGATGACACCGAGTATCTTGAATTACAGTCCAACTGCCTTAAGGTCTTCCCGCTTCCTTGGCAAGGCCAATGACACCCCACACCCTTAGCATTTCCCGTCCCAGTTACCAGGTTTCTTGGGGGACCAGTCCATGGCAAACCCTTCCACCATATGACCAGCAAAGGAAAAGATGGGTTTGATTTTAGCCTGCTCTTCTCGCAGGAAGGCAGCCATCACTTGAGGGTCTGACACAGCGACTAGGGCTTGGCGTAGGTTGTATAGTTCCACCTGCCCTTTCTCGGACCAAACGGCTGCTATCTGTGACCCACCAAACTCTGTCACCTATTAAGAAAAAGGCAGTGAGGTGCATTTAAGTGGAGAGCTGGGTGACAGAGAGCAGAAAGGGGTTAACCAGGCAGGGAATATGAGCCATACCCGAACTCTGTTAATACCCCCATAATGGGGGACCATGGCCAGTTCCAGCTGGGGTTTTTTCTCTTCATCATCGTCGTCGTCGTCGTCATCATCTTCACTGTCACTGCTGCTCTCTGCCCCCAAACCTTCCTTGCAGGCTTGTTTGGTTCCATGGAGGTTGTGCATTTTCATGACCATCAATCTAATGGGGTGGGGGGGGAGGAAAGAGAATGGCATTTATTGAGACTATTGAATCAGATTTATGCCCGTGCTTGCTTAAAATGTCATTGGTTTGCTGGATGAGAGGCCCCATTCTATATTTTATTGGAATATCTTCAACCACCTCTGAAAACAGACTTGAGGCAGTCTCACCTGTTGGCATTGGCAGACTCAGCCTGGGTTCCGGCACAAAGGAGAAGACTCAGCGGGTAGCTAGTTCGATTTTCTCCAAGGGCGTCTCGCAAGATGTCGAAACTCAAGCAAGGAGCACCTGGGTTTGGGTGGAGAAAAAGAGAATCTGAATTACTTTCTACCACAATACTCTTATAGCCCCATAGTTAGATCTTGTCACTAATTCAGTCCTCTTTTAGACACTCAGAAGGCAACTTTAGAAAAGTGGTCAAAGGGCTTTAAGGGACCACTTATCTGCTTCAGGTGATCACCTGCATACGCTCTGGGTCCTCCTAATCTTACCTAATCACTTTTACTGACAGCTGAGTAATTTAATAACTTGATCATCCACCTGCCTCCAGGTATGCTTGTGACAGGAGTATCTTCCAACCTAAACCTTGCCAATCCCAGTAGAAGGATCACTTGCACACCTAAGACTCACAGGATTCTCACACCAGAGTAATAACCCAAATTCATGCAGCCCACTTGGTGACCATCTCCAGCAGCACCCCATATATGTGATCTACACATCATATCTATGTTACATAGGGGTCATTTTGTAGAAAAAGAGGTGCTCATTAGCATAACTCATTTGCATATGCCACACCCCATGACATCACCGGAGGTGTGTCAGAAGGCAACACCCACTGCTCAGGCTCCACCCCAAAAATCTCCAGGTATTTCCCAACTCAGAGCTGGTGAGCATACCTGGAGAAAAAGCTGGGATCCACTGAGCTTTGCAGCACGATCCTAAGCCGAGCGGCCATGCCAGCTTTCCCAGATTAGAGTCCACACTCCTAGCCACTATACCAAACTGACTCTCTTTTTAAGAGTTTTGAGTCTGAGTTACTAACAATGATAGCTCATGAAGAATGGGCAATTTTGAGAATCGGTGTACATAAGTTTGAACAAAGAACACTGTAATTTGTCATAATTAAAACTGCTAACCATAGATGTGAGATCAGAAAAGGGCAGATGTAAAAACACATGGAATTCTAAGTGGGCTTTCAGTACGACTCTAAACATCAATGGACTTGGAAGGATATGGATTTCCGTGTTTGCCTCCGATTGGCACAGTGCCTAAATAGTCAATATATATATGAAGCTTCTCCTCTTCAAATTAACCCAGATTCTGTCAGAACTACTCAGCTCCAGAAAGCATGAGCTCAGAATCCAACAAAGTATTAGCCGTTAGGCATAAGACTATCCATAAAGTAAGCCACACTTTTTATGTCACACATTTTTTCCCATTTCTGAAGCATCACATCCCTGAACAGTCAGGCATCCTTTGAAAAACAAATCAGAGTTAAAACCAGACAGGGTTTCCAGTGACGGAGAAACTAGATTGTTTTCTGCAAATGAAATAATAATTTGCAGCTCTTCCCCTTTTCTGCAAATGAAATAATAATTTGCAGCTCTTCCCCTCACCCCGAATTATTTACCACCTACCAGAGTAGTTAA